ACCCGTGGGCCGGGTTGGGCCGTTTCGTCTCTATCCGCTGCCATCCGCCCGGCGGCGGGGCTCGGCTGGGTGGCGGCCCATGCGGGAGGGAGAGGGGGAGGTTGACGGGCGGCTGTAGGGCGGCACGGGCGGCGGGGAGACGGCGGGCCGCCCCGAGGCTGCGGCTGTCGTGACAGGCCGCGACCTGCGCGGTGCCGGGTTGGGACTGCGGCGCGGGGCTCTGGCGGGCTGCTCCCGTTGCTGCCCGCCCGGTGCAGCGGCGTCTGGCCGCCGAGCCGTGCGCCGTTCCCCTGCGATCCGTGCTCATTCCTCCCGGCGTTTCTCCGCAGCAAGACCAGGGTGAAAAAGAGAACCCCATGCGAGAGCTCCGCATCCGCAAGCTGTGCCTTAACATCTGCGTTGGGGAGAGCGGGGATAGGCTCACCCGAGCGGCCAAGGTCCTGGAGCAGCTCACGGGGCAGACTCCCGTCTTCTCCAAAGGTGAGGTGGCCTTGCCGGCGCTGCAGGCTGCTGTCCCGTCTTCCTGAGCGCCTCGGTGGTGGTGTGGTTGTGGGAAGAGGTTCCTCAGTAGAGCCAATGTGGAGGAATATGCAGTTATGCACATAAAGGCCTTGGCGTGTGCGTTGAAGGGGCCTTAAATGCTCAGTGCTGGCAGTCTTTGGTCTCTGCTGCTGTATTTGTGTCCTTGTGTCCAGGGAGGGAATGTGAGATTGTCTTGGCTCTTTTTATTTCCTCTTAAGTAACTTCTTTGGTCTTGAGCAAGCTCTGAGTTCTTTGAATGGCCCCTTGAGTGTCACTCTTATTGCTTACAGCTCGATACACTGTAAGGTCCTTTGGAATCAGGAGAAATGAGAAGATTGCTGTTCACTGCACAGTTCGTGGGGCCAAAGCAGAGGAGATTCTGGAGAAGGGGTTGAAGGTGAGAATGGGGCTTGTCTGAATCCTTTGTCTGTGGAAAAACAAACAAAACTTGAACTGTTATCATCTGGAAAGATGATGAAAAGCTTTGAAATGTTGCATCTGGTCTAGTTACAGTCGTTGGTGCAGAGGGTTGGATTAGCATCCGTGGTACACGAACTGTGATTGTGTGGTTCTTCTCCTTGGTGTGTGCTTGTTTAAGAGGTCGTCAATACAGCTGCTGCTGTCTTCTGGGTTTTTAACTTGATTATTTCCAAGCAAGCTGTGGGATTGAAATCTTAAAAGCTTACCATCATGTAAAAAGGCATTTAGTAGAACATGTAGGACTTCCCTTTGTGGTTGATTATGAGGTAATGACTGACAATGCGTGTTTCAGGTGCGAGAATATGAGCTGAGAAAAAACAACTTCTCAGATACTGGGAACTTTGGCTTTGGAATCCAGGAGCACATTGATTTAGGGATCAAGTATGACCCCAGCATTGGCATCTATGGCTTGGACTTCTATGTGGTGAGTATTCTCTGCTGCCTTGCACTCATTGGGTTTGTGTAAAAGCTGGAGAAGGAGTCTGGCAACTGCTGAAAGGTGGAAAGATGTCATCAGAATCCAAGTCTAAGCTGAGGTTCACAGGGCTGCTGTAAGGCCCCTGATTTAAGGTGTTTTCAGAAACACTGTTGCTGTTAGTGGTATTCCTGGGATGATGTTGAGAGAAACCCCTGGATTTGGGTCAGTCTGCTGGGAAGGAGGAGGCAGAAGGGTGAGGGACTTCAGGGGTGAGGACGCAAACGTGGACTGGTTCTCCAGTTTGAGGGGATGGTGGGTCATGAGAAGGTGGTGGTTGGCACATTTGACTTGTTCTCTCTGAAGCAGAGGGAAGCTGTTCCACACACGTAACCCATTCTGCTCAGTATCTTTTCTTGAGAGCTGAGGCCTCTGGCTATGCAACAGTGCGTCTTGCCTGTTCGCTTTGGTTTCTCTGTGTATGCGATAAGTTGCTTGGCCCAAGAGCTGTCCTGACAGTTTACCTGCCTGTTCAGTTACCTGGATTTCAGTTGCATCAAGACTGCTTAAGATAACGCTCTAAGTCCTGACCATAATAATAATAATAATACTTCACATAATGAGATGTTGCTGACCCGGAAGTTCTAGATTGTTCCTTCTTAAGAAAGGTTTATTTTAAGTCAAGACCAGAATCAGGCGGTGCGATTGCTGTCCTCTCCTGGCAGGTGCTGGGCAGACCTGGTTTCAGCATCGCTGATAAGAAGCGCAGGACTGGCAACATTGGAGCCAAGCACAGAATTGGAAAGGAAGAAGCCATGCGCTGGTTTCAGCAAAAGGTAAAGTCCAGCTTCATTTTTTTTACCCTGCAAGATTCCTAGCAAGTGTCAGCAAAATACATCGCTGGTTTGATATTCCTTATGGGAGGAATGGAGCAACTGGGCAGGAGATCTCTGCTCAAAGCCCTGTGTGTTTTTCTGGAGCAGTATAAACTATTTGAGCTGACTTTGAGCTGCAGCAGCTCGTGTAGGCTACCTACAAGTGTCAGCTCTTGTATGAACTGCACTGGTCATCTCTAGTGCAGGGGAAACTCCAGCCTGCTCCTGCTGAGTGGCTTTTTCTCTGGCGTTTTCCTAGTTCTGGTAACCGGTGTACTTCACTTTTGGGGCCGAATAACAGGGCTGTGAAAGGGATGTGAGTGTATTCTAGGCAGATCGACATGTGAAGGGTTGGCCTTCTTGTTTTGCTTGGCTGGTTTGTGGATCTTAGTGCTTACCTGCAATGCTTCTTACCTCCACCGTGGAAATAAGCCACGTGGCATAAGGTGGAAAGGCAGTTAGCTCAGCGCAGAGAAGTGGTGTTTAATGTCATTGTTGCCTGTCTGGCTTGGAATGAATGTGGTCATCAGTTTTTCCACGGCAGCGCTGTACCTTTACCTGACTGTTTTCTCACTTAGTTCTTTCTGGTTTTCTCGCAGTATGATGGCATCATCCTTCCTGGCAAATAAGCAGTTCCTGTTACCAAAAAGCAAATAAAACTTTTTTAACCCCAGCTTCTGTAGTGAATTTTATGGGAGTTCCTCCTGACCTGTGCAGCTGCTGGAACTCTGCACCGAAAAGGCAGCAGAAAGACGGGGACGGCACTCAGCAGATGCCAGTGCACCCTTGGCTTTGCACCCTCCAGCAGTGAAGCCCATTGCAGGTGCTCAGGCTGCAGTGTGTCCTTTGGTGCTGCCTGCTGCCCAGGTGCAGCCAGCTATTGAAGTGTGAATCATACCTGGGGAGGAAGAGTAGATCTGTCAGCCCAGGCCTTGCTGTCTCAGTTCCAGAAACCAGACCCAATCTCCAGGCTGCTGACAGCCGAGGGATCTACTGGCTTTTCAAAGAAGCCGTTGGGATTCGGGAGAAAAGTCCCAGGCACTTGAACTATCCCTGGTATTGCAGTGCCTGGCAGAGCTACTCCAGTTCAAAGCACTTTGGGCACCTCCTCTAGCAGGTGTCTGGGGATAGTAGCTATGTCTCCTTTTATTTATTTTATTGAGTAAAGGGAAGGGTGAGCTTTGTCAGCAGCACCAGGAACTTGAGATGTAACCCATCTTGTCCCAGAAGAGTTTTTGTAAGTCAGCATCGTGCTGACGCTTCTGTCCTGGCACCAGTGCCTCTGTCAAGGGAGAAAAGAAAGCTGCTCTGTGGTAAGACAGGAGTTACCTAATTGGATCTAATGCTTCATGCTGTGCAGCCATGAGAGGTTTTGGGTTTCATCTCAGTGCCATGAGATACTGCGAAACACTTTGGGCACCTTTGACAGGCTGAGGGAAAGCACATGTTTGTGTTATTCCAGCGTCTGGTTGAAGGAAAGCAGAGCCATCTTTAACTGCCACATGCAGTTAATATAAAATGGGATATAATTGCTGCTTCTGATTGGAATACCACTTCAGTGATAAGGGGCGTTTTTCACAGGTTAATCCTGTCTGCTGTACTAATCTAGGGGGCTGGAGTGGCATGAAGAGATTAGAGAGAACTCAGTGTAGAAAAGCTGGGCTTTTTTTCTAGTTATTCAGACTACTCTTAAAAGGCAGTAGCGTGTTATTGATCTAACAGCAAAGCAGCAGCTATCCCGGGTGATGCTGTGCATGTAGGAAATTGCACCCAGATTATTTAGTATCTAATCAATCTCCTTTAGCTGCCAATGATCCCAGCTCACGTGTGAGGAGGGTACAAGTCACAGCAAACACCAAGCTGGGAAACCACCTGGGCACTGAACTCCGGCTGCTGCTCTGCTGCCAATAATTAAAACCCACCATTTAAAAAAAAGCACCACTGCAGTGTCTCCCCGTGCCACGTTGGTGCTGTTCAGCTCACACAAACTCCGGCCTGTCCGTGGCTCGCCCGCAGGCCGGCCCTGCTCTTGCCGTGACTTCTGAGCGGTCGGTCCGAGGGAAGCAACGCAGCGCGGGGCTCTGCGGGTGAGCAGTCTTTGTCCGCACCCTTCCCGACGCAACGCCCCGATCCCCAACTGCCCCTCGCTCTGCCGTCATCAGTTCTGCGCTTCCAGCGGGCTCCGAGCTCGGCCAACCTGCCGCATCCCAGCAGCACGGGAAGGGCTGCGTTCAGGGACCGCTGCCCCGGCCGAGGCTTCGGCACTGTCAGCTCCGGGCAGTCGCCGCGAGTCAGCCCGACCGCTGCCAAGAGAGCGGCCTTAGGGAGCGGCCCGAGGCCCAGCTGCCCCCTGGCGCCCAGCAGGCACCGGGGGCACAAAGCAGCGCTGCACGTGAGCGAGTGGAGGGGCTGAGGGGCTCCCCGGGCGGCCTTTGGCCGCGGCCTCGTGCGCCGCTGGCACTCCCGCCAGCTGCGGTTCAGCGTTGGGACCCGGCGCTCGGCCCGAGCTGACGCGAGCTCCGCGTTGACCGCGGCTCTCGAGAGCCCCGCTGCCCCTCAGGAGCGCTCTGCCAGCACTCAAGATGGCGCACCCACCAGCGTCACGCCAGGCCCCAAGATGGCACCCATCGGGCTCTGCCCTCACCTGCCGTGGCCGCCTACGAAGGGGGTAGCTTCACGCAGCTTCCGCTTCCTGCCCGCAACCAAGATGGCGGCGGCCGGGAAGCGCCGTGTGGCGAGTGAGAGGTGAAGCCGCTTCCGCCGCCGCGGCCCGTCCAGTAATAAAAATGGCGGAGTCGGTGCTGGAAGTTGTGGGCCGGCTGCAGGCTCGGCTCGCGGGCAGCGCGGATCCCAAGAAGGTGACCGGGGTTCGGCGGGGTGCTGGGGGAGGGACGGGGCCGGTGCGGCCGCGAGGGGCAGGAGGTGCGGGGTCAGGGCCTGCCCGGGGCGGCGGAGCTCGGGGTCCCGGCTGTCGCTCGGGCCGCGCCCTGTCGGGCTGTCCGGGGCGGCTTGGTGCTGCTCCGTACGGGGCCGTCCCGGCCGTGCCGCCGCTGCTCGGTGCGGAGCTGGGCCTGTGGCGCGGTGGCAGTGCCCGAAGTCTCGGCCCGTCCCGGCGCTGCTCGGGGCCGCTGACAGCCGCTGTGCTCGGGGCCCCTGAGCCGCTTTCTTCATCGGGAATTGGGACCTGGAGCGGTGCTCGGGGGTTGGCGTGCTCCCAGCACGTGCTGCTCTCCCCTTCCTTGGGACGTGGCGTTTTGCCGGGCAGCATCTGTTAGGAGTGTTCTTGTAGGTGTTTGGGTCACGTTTCCTTTCGTTCAGCGTGAGGACGGCAGCAGCTCTGTGCTGATCCGGGTTTATCCTGGGCACGCACCCACGGAGTGCCCAACCGTCTAGGCTGAGCACGGGGAGCTCTGCCTCTTGTCTGGCTCAGTTTGGGGCTGCCAGTCCCTTTCTCACTCCCCTTCCTCTCTCCCTCCACCTCAGCCAACACCAGAGCGGAGTGGAACTGCCAGAGCCCTGCATACTGAGATGGAGCTGGGGAGGCTGAGCTCTGTGTGCCTGGATTGTGAGCTGGCTGTGTGAGCAGTGTCAGCTCCTGGTTCCTGACCCCGCTGTAGTTGTGCAGCAAGAGCTGCCTGTTTGCTGCTTGGGCCCTGCGAGGCATCAGTCAGCACTCTGCGGGCTGCTGTCTCCTGTAGCACTGCAATGTGAACTCATTCCTTTCTGTGCTGCTCCAGTGCAAGGGGAGGAGAGATGTTAAGCGTTAGCTAGCTGCTACTGGCTGCAGTTGTATTGTTAATCCTTTCCAGCTCCTCAGGAGAAAGGACCTGTAACCTGTACTTGCTGCTTTCTGGTACCTTTCCAATAGCATCCAGGGAGATGTTTGCCTTTCTTGTGATGTCAGCTGTGCTGTTCCCTTGTCTTGTAGAGGCTTCTGCTGTTTCTATCACAATTCAGTAGCAGGCACAGCTTTACTGTGTCAGAAAGACAGAGCCACAGAGCTGCACTCGTCACAACCCCGATAATAAAAGTGTTGTTGGAGATACTGCAGTGGAGTGAAGCTAGAATATAGCCAGGGTGGCCTTGAGGATAATAGGAGGAGTTTTCCCTTGGCATGTACTCTCACACTGCCATTTTTATTAATATGAAGCAAACTCTCTAAGAAGGTGATCAGCTTAGAGAGGTGCTTTGTTTCAATATCACCCTGTTCTACTCTTTTCTATCCAGCACAAGGTCCACCTTCCTCTCCTTTCATCACAGTAATCACAGAAACGCCAGGGTTGGAAAAGACCTTCAAGATCATCCCGTCCAGCCATCCAGTTATCACCAATAGTTCTCACTAAACCACATCCCTCAATAAAAAATCCAAACGTTCCTCGAACACCTCCAGGGTCGGTGACTCCACCGCCTTCCTGGGCAGCCCATTGCAGTGCCTGACCACTCTTTCAGATAAGCAGTATTTCCTGACATCCAGCCTAAATCTCCCCTGGTGCAGCTTGAAACCATTCCCTCCAGTCCTATCACCAGTTACACGAGAGAAGAGGCCAAACCCGAGCTCACTGCAGCCTCCCTTCAGGCAGTTACAGAGAGCAGTGAGGTCTCCCCTGAGCTCCTCTTCTCCAGACTGAACATTCCCAGCTCCTTCAGCCTCTCCTCATCAGCCCTCTGCTCCAGACCCTTCCCCAGCTTTGGTGCCCTTCTTTCAACCCGCTCCAGGGCCTCGATGTCTTTCTTGCAGTGAGGGGCCCAAAACTGAACACAGCACTCGAGGTGCGGCCTCAGCAGAGCTGGATACAGGGGAACAGTGACTTCCCTGTTCCTGATGGCAACACTGTTTCTGATGCAAGCCAGGATCCCATTGGCCTTCTTGGCCACTCGGGCACACTGCTGGCTTGTGTTCAGCCGAGCATCAATCAACACCCCAGGTCCATTTCCTCTACACCGTCTTTCAGCCACTCTGCCCCAAGCCTGTAGCATTGCCCAGCGTTGTTGTGGCCAAAGTGCAGGATCCGGCATTTGGATTTCGTGCCCGCTCCCTTCCAGCAAGCTCTTTGTGCATCAGTCCAAACTGCTGTGTTGCTGAAGGGATCCTGGCTGGGAGGGCTCTGTCCTCACCATTAGCATTGCTGCACTGAGCTGGATTGTGGCCACAGAGCCTCTGCTGGTTCCGTGTCCCCACCTGCAAGTGAGTCTGTTCAGCAGCAGTGCTGGTGAAGAACTGGTGGCCCTGGAGTGCTGAAGGGACAGTGGGATTCCTGGCTCAATGGGTTTCTGCTTTTCTGGTCCTTGAGGAAGGTGGAGGACTGTGTTATCTGCACCAGGGCCTCTGAGCCCGTAGCTGCAGGCACGGAGTGGAATTGCTGCTTGGATATACAAGAGCAGATCTGGAACTGCTGCATCCTCCTTGGCACCCTAACTTGAGTGCTGAAAAATGCCATGATGCTGGTATTGGAGTGTATAACTCTTCCAGAACAAGGAGAAGACCTAATCCTTTGCTCATAGTAATGAAGTCCTACGTATGACCAGTGGGGCAGTGGTTTGTGGTGAATAGGATCCATACTGTCATTGTGCTTAAGTGAGGTGGGCTCTTTTCTCTGTTGGTTCTTCAAATACGCAAAAAGAATTTATTTCCTTCAAAAAGAGCAGAGCTTCCTGAGCCTCTGGGTTCTTGTGTGGTGTAAGCAGGGTGATGGGAGCTGCTTAGGTTGACGGTACTGATTTCAGCACGAGTACAATGCTTTAAGGAGATGTTCTGGATCGAGGCAGCCCTTTGTATGGCGTATGCACAAAGATGGTCGTAGAGGTGCCACAATAATGGGAATGCTGACAATTTTGCTCTGGCTGTAGCTGTGGGAGATAATACAAGAAGTGGTGGTGCTATTAGGTCTGTGCTGTTGCTAAAAAGCCTCTGTGCATCGCAGTGAGGTGATGCCAAGCACCAGTACTGCTCCATTTATGCCCACGCTGCCCAGCCCCACAGTCAGTGAGTGGGTTTGGGGAAAGGCATGAAGAGAGTGGGGCTGGAGGCAGCAGTTCTGGAGGGATTGGTTGGTTTTTCAAGTGGTGTCTGAGAGGGGAGAGGCTGTCTGCAAACTGGCCCGGGGAGGTTCTGCAGGGAGATGAGGATTCTGTGCATCCTCAGGAACATCTGAAAGGCTTTCTTCGGTGTCTGGTTTGCAGAAGCTGATGAAGTTATCTCCTTTATTTAATTTGTCTCTCCCTTGCAAAGGGATGCACTTCTCAGGGCCACTTCTGAGAGTTAGAAGTTTCTAAGTCTTTCCTTCAGCTTCTTGTGCCTCAGGGCTGTGTAATGGCTTTGCTACTAATACTGTAAGGCAAAGTTAAGTTGCAGTTCTCTGTAAAGAAAGAATTTGTACTTTAGTAAGTTTAAGATTTTTCAGGTGGCCCTCATTGGCCAAGTGGCAGTAACTTCTTTGCAGCTGGCCCTCAAGTTTGGCTTCTTAGGGGCTTGACGTGGAGCAAGGTAACAGCTGTCTGCCACCTGCATCTTTCTAACTAGCTTTTGCAGAGCTTCCCTTTCTAATCATAGTGCGTTTCGGTCTGACAAGTCTGAATGCTGTCCTCCTTGCCTCTGCAGCTGCTGAAGAGTCTGAAGAAGCTGTCTGAGCTGCCCATCACAGTTGACATTCTTGTGGTAAGAGCTGTGAAATCTCTTGTGCTTTCAAGTCTGTCAAGCTACACAATCTATCTGCTAGAAAAATGCTGCTTTCTGGAGCAGAATATGCTGTCTGAACCAGCTGCTCCAATGTGAAGTCATAGACATGGCTGGGATGAAACTCTAGAATTCCCGGTTACAGAGAGGATCTCAGCCCTTCCTCTGGGTGTGAAGCAGTGCAGGACAGGTGGTGGTGCTCAGCTCTTCCCGAGATTAACGGTTGCTCAGGATTTGCGAGTCGGAACAGTTCCTAATGGTGACTGAAGCAGCATCGCATTAGGAGCTGCAAATCTTTGGAACTATTAGTGACCAACTTCTGCCTTCAAGCAGTTATGGTAAATAATACCTTGGTTTATTAAGCCAATTAAGTAACTTTTGACTTAAAACAGAGTTACGTCTTCACTAATTTACAGTGCTGTAGCAAGCTATACAGTGTCTGCTGGACACACAGTGCGCTACGTGTGGTTTGCTGTTGGATTAAGGAGGCTCACTTTGACCTCGAACTCGTAGGTAGCAGGCTAACTTTGCAGGAAGCTCTGTGGGGCTGTGAGTGCTGACTGCTTTGCTGAGATTAGTTTTTATCTTTTCTTTCTCCTGAAGGAGACAGGCGTTGGAAAGACAGTGAACAGCTTACGGAAGCATGAGCTGGTGGGAGACTTTGCCAAGAACCTTGTTGCCAGGTGGAAGAAGCTGGTGCCGGTCTCCCAGGAGGCAGATAGGTGAGTAAACCTGCTCAGTTATGGAAAAGTTGCTTTTTTTTATTTTATTTTTTTTTAATTTTTGCAGTGCAGATTACAAACTACTCTGATCATGGAAACAAATGAAGGCTCTGGAAAAACTTGTAACACAGTGTGCTCTGTGGGGCATCTGCCTTGTTTTGGAACAAACCTCCTCCCTGTCCTCACCACAGTGTTGAGTTGCTGACGGCTGCAGTTCAGAATGAAGGCAGGGACCAACCTCCAAGAAACTGCAGTTTGATGAAAAGATTATCAGTAGCAGCCAAGAAAGGGCTTCTAATGAAGCAAGAGATGTAATCAGTTCGCTTCCCACTCAAGATGCCAAAGAGAGGAAGTTTTAGGCCCAAGTAAAGGAAGTGGCTTGCTTTGAAAGAAGAGTTCTGTGTGTACAGATGCCACAGAAACTGAAGCTAATGCTGGCACTATGTAGCCATGTGCTGATTCCAGCAAGATCGGGATGTAGATCTGGATGGTAAAGATTCAGGTACTCATGATAACCTTGATGGCAGTGGTTTCCCTTCTGCTTTAATGAGTGAACTGGGAGCTCCTGTTTCCTTACACACCGTGCAGCCAGGAGTATATGACACAGAGACATCTCTGTACACCTTTGCCTCCACTTGCCCAGTGAACTGTGAAGTTTTTAGTCCTTATAAAAATGCTTAATTCCTATGAAAGAAATGTGGTTCCTAAATCCCTGAATGTTGCTGTGCTAGGGAGAGTTTTGGTATTCTTGCCACAAAGCTTCCAAATGCAATTTTAGTCCTCTGTAAGAGATTCCCATCCATATTGCCCACGGGGAGTGACTCCATTCATACTGGGAAGTTTCAGTCTAAGTAATTTGTTTTCTCGTCCTTTTAGAAATAATCTAGATTCTGAAGATTGTGACTATGAGAGGAGCAGCTCAAGGAAAAGACAAGCACCTTCTCCCCAGGAGGATGAGGAACATGACCAGGACTACTCAGAGCCTTTCCAGCCTTCCTGCAGCCAGCTCTACAGCCCAGATCATAGAGAAAAGAAATCCAAAAGGTATTTAGGGCCTGAGAAATCTAATGAGGCTTATGGTTGTAGCAGCCAAGAGGATAAGAGATGGGACAGATCTTCCCCAGTGCTCTCTTCAGATCAGGAGTACTCGGACTATGGACAAGCTGTGTCACCTGAGCCAAGTGAGAGCCCTCAGGATACGTACACAGACCCTTATGCCTCTGACGAGCAGGAAGAACCAACAGTGTTTCATCATAAAGCCAGTAAGGGCCATGGCTTTCAGGAGAAGCTGGGGGAAAGCTGGGAGAGGAACCCTGGTGATCTCCACGACAAAGGGAATGCGAGTGGAAGCAAAGAGCACAAGTCTTCTCACAAGGAGAAGCAGCGATCTGATGGCCGAGGGGAGAACAAAACCTCTGCCTTCAGCCCTGACAAATTGCACAAGACCTCTTTTAAAGAGCATCTCCGAGAAAGCCCTGTGGTAGGGGGCAGCAAGGAAAAGCACAGGATGTCAGATGGCACTAAGAAGGAGAAAAACCGAGAAAATAGCTCTTCCAGAAAAGAGAAGCTGCACGTGCAGCCACGCTTGGAAGAGTCTGTGGACAACCACACTAAGAAGCGAAAACATCAGAACTCTGAAAAAAGCAAAGTGGGGAAGTCCAAGCCAAGCCTGGAGACTTCTAACACAGAGCGGGAGAAACACAAAGGTGAGAGTGACTCCTCAAATAGGATTAAGGAAAAGGGGACTTCTGGGAGCTTAAAAACATCTGAGGGGAAGCACAAAGCCTCTGAGTTGGACAAAAAATCTACTGACTTGTCCTCGAGTTTTGGGGACGGGGAAGTGGAGGATGAGTTTGAACAACCTACTATGTCTTTTGAGTCATACCTCAGCTATGACCAGCCCCAGAAAAAGAAAAAGAAAGTGGCCAAACCCTCTGCGTCAGCTGGGGAGAAAGATCAAGGGCACAGCAAACAGAATGGATCCAAAGCCAGCACCAAGAGCTCCAGCTCGAGTCGCAAGAGCCCAAGCCACAAGCGGACAAATGAGAAAAAAGCAGAGAAGAAACAAGCAGAGCCTCCTAAACCAAACAGGGTAAGGTTTTGCTCGCTTTCAGATCCTTCAAAGAAGTTGGGATCAGCTGCCCTTAGTCCTCTGCTATCCGGGGCTTTCTGGCTTTCCCTGGTGTGTGCTGGGCTGCCCTGAATCAGGCTGTGCTCGAGGTGTGTCATCAGTGCAGTCGGTGACCCCAGGCTCCTGCTGGGACGTGCTGTGTCTCACCCACCTGCTGCAGGACAGCCCCACAGGCACCCATGTGTGCTGCTGGGGTGGAACTCTGCTGGAGCTGTGAGTGGAGGGGGAGGGAAAAGGAAGTTCAATAGCCAGAATTCAACTGTTTCGAAAACAAGGGAAGTAAGAGAGACTACTTTCAGGCAAATACTCATAAGAAAACCTAAGTGTGAAACACTTCTTTAACAATGTCTCTAGTTATGAATAAACTTAGAACTTTGCCTAATATGCAATGGCATCTCTGCCTCCTAGAGAGGTTCCCAAGTCTTTTGCTCAATTCTGATCTCAATAGATAACTTTTTTTTCTTTGTCAATACTGTAGTTTTATTAACTGAATGTGTTGGGCCCCAGGAATCGGGGAGAGATGGGAGAATTGGTGCTACAGTGCAGCTTATTCTAGAAGCCTGAACTTCCTTTGTGAAAGCTTGGAAAAAAAGTTATGTTTCTGTATATATTCATTGCCTCACAGATGCCAGTTGCCTATGTAAGTAGGGAGTACTGTGTAAAAGCCATTGCTACTTTCTTTTTACTTGACTTTGAAACGCTTCTCCTCAACCGGTGCTCTTATAATCCTAACAGCATTTTACAATCCTACCTTGCCATTCATTCTGATGTTTCTTATAGCAGTTCAAGACTTTCCCCCAGTTTGATGTTCCCGTCTGTTCCATCACAGCTGAATCTTTTGCAGGAGTGCGGAAGGACAAAAGGAGACATCACAGATTAGGAAGTGTTTGAGGTCAAGGAGGTGTTTCTGTCTCCTTTTCTGTGCTGTTTTTTCCTTCAGTTCTTTGCATTGTTAATCTGATCTGGGTTCTCAACAGAGCCCTTTAGTAGTGAACTTAATGGGCTAAAGGCATAGATGTCTCTTATTAGGGGGTGCTGAGTAATTTGGATCCCGAATTTTGGTTTCTGTGTATTTGGCAGCTTAGCTAGTCATGGCAACGTGGCCGAAGTGTAGCTTCCTCCTATTTCCTGGTGCAAGCTGATCATCATTGTGGCTTATTGGCAGTGCCAAACAAAAAGCAATTCGGTGCTGTTTGTACACTGGCAGGATGTAACGTTCTCAGCTTAGTTGCATATACATCCTTTCCTTCCAGATGCTGATAGATGTGGTGCCAACCTTACCAGACATCCCACTGCCCCCAATCCAGGCCAACTACCGCCCTCTTCCCTCCATTGAGTCCATTACCTGCTCCCAGACAAAAAGGAAAGGTACGTTGGGCAGGAAAAGGGGTTTGTAATGGGCTACAGACACTGGTAGCAGGAGGTGGCAGGAATGCATGCAGGCTGGGTTCTGCTCTCTTTACGCTGGGATCTTGTGTCCTGCCTTGATGTCTGGAGCCTTTCAGAAAAAGGTGTTTGTTTTTTATGTCCCCCCCCATGTGCTCTAACTGAAATGAGGAAGATCCTTTGCTGACCCTTCCTGAGCTTGAGCTCTGGAATTGCCCTTCCTGAATTGGGTGGCATTTTGCAAGTCTCCTGGAGAGGACTTTGGTTCTCTGGGCTTCTTCGGGAAATTCTGGCTTGTGTCTCCCATGCCATTTGTCAGGGTGATCTCTTGGTTTCTCTGTTTCCTTCTTACTCCAAGTCTTGCTTTCCACAGCAGTGTCCTCACCAGTTGAAGAGAGCGAGGCAGGATTTATAGGTCGCCGGTTGAATTCGAAGATGCAAGTGTATTCAGGCTCTAAAACTGCCTACCTCCCAAAGATGATGACTTTGCATGAGCAGTGTATCAGAGTCCTTAGTAACAACATTGACTGTAAGTAGTTTTCCAGGTCTGTGTCAGTTGTATTGCCGTGTAGATTTATGTAACTCTGTCCCCACTGAAGTCCTGGTCAATTCTTTTTCTGTATCCCAGTCACTAGGCAAGCTGTGTAACAGGGGAGAGATCTCCCTGAAAGCTCTGGTGCTGCAGGAGTCAGTAGCGCAGCACGTTGTAAGGAATGATTAAAGTACTGGAAATACTGGTAAACAGAGCTCTGCACAGGAACTTTTTATCTTGGAGCTGTTGGTGCCTAATGACTCGCTGGAAGTACTGCACCCTAGTTCCTTTTTCCTTCCCCATGAATTGTGCAGCAGCATGCAGCATTGCTGTTTTTTCAGGGTCTCAAGCCCTATCTTTGGCAAGGAAGGAGGAGGATAAATACTGTGCATCTTGCTTCTTTCTAGCAATCTATGAAGTGGGTGGTGTCCCTTTCTCAGTGCTGGAGCCAGTGTTGGAGAAATGCACCCCAGAGCAGCTGTACCGCATTGAGGAATGTAATCACGTGAGTGCCTGGGTCTGGGGAAGGGATGCTGATGTCTGGATGTGGATAGATGTGCTAAGAGACAAGGAAATGAAGGTGTCAGGAACAACCTCTGCTTACATTGTTTCAGGTCCTAATTGAGGAAACAGATCAACTATGGCATAATCACTGTCTTAGAGACTTCAAGAATGAGAAGCCAGAAGAATTTGAGTCCTGGCGGGAGATGTACCTCCGACTTCACGACGCTCGAGAGCAGAGGCTGCTCATGCTGGCGCGGAACATAGGCTCAGCTCATGCTAACAAACCTAAAGGTAATGAAGGGCTGAATGACTGAGGAGCCAGACAGGTCTGGGAAGGATGCCTAGGGGAAGTCTGTGTGAGAAAGGTCTTTAGGAGTGGCTAGTTTGAATCCAATGCAATGTAAAAGTTGCTCAACTCCGTTCCTTGTGGTAGCACTCACTTAACAGCTTAGTCTGTAGATCTCTTCCGTGGTGTTGCGGACCTGTATTGTACGGGCAGAATAGCTGCTGAGACAACCCTTGTGACTTCTTTATGCTAGGATTTAAGAATATCAGGGTGGGATAAAACATCCGTCCTTTCGTTGGTGAGTATAGTGAGAACTGCTGGCCCAATCAGTCAGTTTTACCACAGCCAACCCTGTGACTGCAGGAGGTTCGGACCAAAGGGAGTAGGCTGTCTACTGAGCTTTGCAACAGATGAACTGCAGAAATGTGTCTGGAGCTTGCTGCAATAAGGCAAATACCCAAAAGCTTTCTTTTTGGATCTAAGCACTGTTTTCCTCTGGCCACCTACAGGTAGAGTGGCCAAAATGGCCTTTGTGAACTCTACAGTGAAGCCCCCTCGGGATGTACGGAGAAGACAAGAGAAGTTTGGAACTGGAGGTGCTCTTGTGCCAGAGAGAACCAAGTAAGTGTTTCTCGGTAGCATTTGTGTGAAACTTGTGGCTGTAATGGCTTTTTTCTTACGGGGAAGAATGGAGATCCTAGTTAGTGCTGGCTTTGTGTGATAAAAGACATGTTAGTATTAACAAATGTGGCTCATTTGTCTGATGAACTGCATCAAACTGCCGTGATGCCTTTACTGAAATACCTGCCCTGTCTTTGTTTCAGAATAAAACCAGTCCTCTACACATCTGGCAAAAGCCATGCTCGCGTGAGCGAGGAGCGGTCCTATGATGGGCCCAGCACTAGCAGTGCCCATTCTGTCCCATCATCAGGCAGCACCTTCTCATCCTATGACCCTAGGAAGCCACCAGTGAAGAGTAAGTACAAGCTGCAGAGCATCTGTGGTCTCCTATAGCTTCTCCTTTGCACATGGATGAATTGACTTTCTGCTGCAAGAGAAGTCCGGGCTGTGGGGGAGGGTCGAGAGCCGTCCTCTCCCTGTGGAGAGGATAGTGAAGTCAGTTTAAACTTCTTGCACAAGAAGAAGCACAGGGAAAATCTGGAGGTGCAGGGTCGGGATGTGGGGCCTGGAGTTTGCTTTGGGCTCTCTGGAGGTCCTGGCAGTATTTAAGAAAGCTGCTGTGCTCCACTCTTTGTTTGCTTCACCTGCTTGCCCTTTCCCTTGTGCTGTCTTTGTTCCATCCAGCTGCTTGTAATAAGGAAAAGCTCACTCTTTTCAGAAGAAGGCAGTGAGTTTACTGAAGATGTGTGGGCCCTCCTCTGTCCGTGACCTGAAAATAAGATGGGCACTGCAGGTCTTCATTGGCCAGGGCTGCAGCTCTGAATCACTTCCTGCTTTCTTGTCTGTAACCTCTGCTTTAACGTTGATTTTTGTTTATTCTTTTTTTCCTCCTGTTTTGCAGAAATTGCACCCATGATGGCAAAGACTATCAAAGCTTTCAAAAACAGGTTCTCTAGGAGATAGGTTGGAAGCACAGAGCTGGGATTTTTCTCTTTCGTGGGGGAGTGGCACTGATGGGGGAGAAGGTACCAAAACAGCCCAAGTCCTTTGAACTCTGCGGAGGCTGCAGCTGCTGGGAGAGACTTTGATCTGCACAAAATGACAGCACAGTATTTTATCTTTTATTCTCATCCCTTCTCCCTAACCTCCTGTTTCTGGCCTTGTCTTCTCTCTAAAGAAAGATGTACAGGATCTCCAGATGTGAGAAAATGTGAAGTCTTGGCACCTGCTGAGAGTAGAAAATCCAGAGACTATTTACTATTTAACCTCTTAATAAATTATGAAATGGTTTTAATTAATTCTTCACCCCTCAAGCCCACTGGTACTATTTATGTCGCTTCCAGTAGTCTCCCCCCTCCCAGCCCAGCAGAAGGGCAGGCCCTGGCTGCACTGGCAGGAATCTGTCCGAATGGGAGATGCTTCTCAAAGGATCCTGTCCTTGTAGCCTGATACCTGCTGGGCCCGGAGTCCCACCCGGACTCTGGGACAGGTGGCACTGGTTACCCTTCTGCTCAACAGTCCATTGGCAAGCAGATCAGGTCCTGAGGCTTTGCTCTCTAATCGTGTAACTTAATAAAATCTTAGCTCTTGACCTCTTCTCTGCTGTTACTGTAGATCTTGAACAGATGCTTATGTTGCTGGTCAGGGATGCCAGGAGCCACTGAGGACTCTTTGCTGCTGCTGCTGTTTTCTGCTGGCTACTGGGAATAAAAAGACGAAGGGTTTGAGGAGAAGTTTTACTGTGCACCAAGGGGTATTTTTCCTTTTCATTTTAAGGGAGTGGACTTTGTCTGCCTCTGGAATTAAAAATAGTTTTTAGACATCATTGAAGGCACTGCTTTGCCTCTTTTAATGGTAAGAAGGAATATTTTTATCTTGTTTTCTGTGTGGAACTGGGAAGGTTTGTTTCCAGTTGGAGGCTGGTGCTCAAATCTTGTCCTTCCCCTGTGTGTTCTCCTCTGCCCAACTTCAGAAGGAGTGAGGATTTTAGTCTTAGAATCTGGAACCACTTGTTTGAAAGAACTGCATCATGGAATGTGTTGGTTTTAATGTGCACGTGCTTCATGGCAGGAGCGCTGAACTCCCGGCTGTACTCAGTGTCTGGAAGGAAAGACTCACGATGCCAGCTGGTGGCTGCGTTGCAAGGTGCCAGGGTGTGAGGTGTGATTCCAGGTCTCACTGCAGCACTGCTATGGCTCGTGCAGCCTTACAGCACTGGTGGGGTACATCTGCCTTGGAACAGCCTCAGCTGGAGGCAGCGCGAGCAGAGTTGCAGCCTCTGGAAGCAGGTGGGACCTGCTTGCACAGTGCTGGAGTGGTGCACAGGGGGCTGGGGGAGAGGGGAGGCTCTGGGCTGTGTTCGTTGCCCCAGGCCTTTGGGTGAAAAAGGTGCAGGTGATCACAGTAGGGGTTGCTGGTTGGGGGTCGCTGCCCAGGGCTCCTCTCTGGGGAGTGTCCTCCCTGGGTGGCTTTAGGAATGACCCTGCTGCTTCTGGTTTCCTTCCTTTTGTTCTGTTTTAATCCATTCTCAGTGTCCTCTGTTGAGTTTTTTCTTGTGTTGAAGGTCTTGGAAAGGTGTTTTCAGCCTCTTCTGTGCTGTATGTTTGTTACAGTCCGAGGTGCTTCAATGTTACAGTGTAGCATTTCAGTGCATCCTGCTGTAAGATAATTGCTCCCGGCTCCTGCAGTTCGCTGTATTTAATTTGGCTGTACTTCTAATTCCATGACAATTCACAACCTTCTGCTGCCCCTTGTGCTCCCGGTTCTTACCCTGGGGCACAGCTCTGGCTTTGGGCCTGGCTGCAGGTGCTGAGCTGTGACCATATCCAGCCCCTAGGACCCGTCCCTCCTCCATCCTCATTTGTCCCCCTGTTCCCAGCTGGAGGGATCCCACGCCCCATGGCAGGAGGTGTCGGATCCCCCCACTGCCGGCCCTCGGCCTCGCGCAGTCCGTCCAGCTGCAGCGATGGCCCCGAGCAGCGCTGCCCGCCCCGCTGCGGCCGGGGTGGGGGTGACTCTGACATGTGTTTGTATTTTTGTCCCCGATGTGTATATACAATTTTCTATGTTCTTTTTTTTGTGGTAACTAAGATGAATATTTTAATTAGATAAGTTATATGAAAAAGAAGAACAATCGTGTCTCAATAAAACCCAAACACTGGACGCCCGGCCGCCTGTTCCTTTCTGAGCATGCGCGGCCCCGCCCCCAGCACACGGCTTTTGGGCGGGGCCGACGGGCGAGCGATGCCTGCAGGGGGCGCGGTGTGATTGGGCGGCTCGGATGTTTGTTTGGGGGGCGTGGCTCGGGGTGGGCGTGACTCTGCGGGCATGGCGGAAGGACACGGGCCCGGGCGCTGCCGGTGCTGCGGCGCGGACGGCGGGGAGCGGGGCGCGGCCTGGGGCCTGCATCTGCGCATCGACCGCGGGCGGTTGCAGTGCCTCAACGAGCGACGCGAGGGTAGCGGCGCCCGCGTTTTCCGTGCCTGGGAGGATCGCGGCGACCGCGAGCAGGTGCGGTACCGGGGCGTGTGGGCGGTGCCGGTGAGGCCGGGCCCGTCCTGAGCCGCTCTTCCGCCCGCAGTTCGTGGAGAGCGACGAGGACGCGGAACTGCTCTTCAACGTCCCGTGAGTGCGCGGCCCGGGCGGGCGAGAGGTGGTGAGAGGCCGCGGTGCTCCGCTGTCACCGCTCTGCTGTGCTCCCTCCCACCAGGTTCACAGGCAGCGTGAAGCTGAAGGCCGTCATCGTGATGGGGGAGGACGATGACTCGCACCCCTCTGAGCTGCGGCTGTGAGTAACACTGCTGGGCTGCGCTGTTCTTTAGCTACAGGTCAATGCGGTGCCTGGGTACTGGGCAGAAGCCCGGAGCCACGAGGAGAAAGAAGCTGGAGCTCATATGTGAGTGAACGTGGCTGCTCGTGCCACAGCTGTGAGCTGCAGTGAACCCAGCCTGCTCCTGGTGCTTGGGACTGTGGTGGTGCTTTGTGGTGGCATTGGTAATTTCTGCTGCAGAAGGCAAACAACTGCCTTATTGCTGAGGGGGATCCAGAAAGCATTAATATGTGGGGAGGGAGCGCATTAGTGACACTGCACTTTAATAACTTTCTGGGTTTCTTCTGTCTGTTCCTAGGTTCAAGAATATTCCTCACATGTCCTTTGATGATGCTGCCCGGGAGCCAGAGCAGACGTTCAGTCTCAACCCCGACCCTGTGGGCCAGCTCGAGTACCCCACCAAGTATGGACCTGGCCCGTGCAGTTCTGCCCATGGCTGCTGGTGGTGACAGATATGCACTGCGGGGAGGGGAAAAGTTGCATCTGCAACCTCAGCTGTTCGCTCCATGCCTGATGTGTGCAGGCTCTGCTGTCCGTCTGTTTTCTTCCAGAATTGCTCGCTTCTCCAATGTCCATGACCTCTCCATGTACTTCCCAAAGAACTTTGGAGCCGAGACAATGAAGATATTTTACATTGGTCTGAAAGGAGAATGGACGGAGGTGAGAGCCAAGACAAGCAGGACTGCGCTACTGGTGCATGAAGAGCTTTAATCAGGGCTTAAGCTGAACTCTGGCTCTTGGGAAGGGGTGGGAAGGGTTGAGATAGATCTGTGAGGTGGGGAGCAGGAAGGAATTAAGTGCCACTGACGTGTCCCCATTCAGGCGCACCGCCACAAGGTCACCATCTGCAACTATGAAGCATCACCCAACCCGGCTGACCACCGGCTGCAGCAGGTCACCCCTCAGAGCCACTGCATCTCTTGACTGTGGCACTGCTCTGTGCTTGGGGCTGGAAACGGACACGGACAGAGACGGTGCCCGAGGCCCCGGGGACTGCGACCGTGCCCCGGTGTGCCGGGGTGGAGCGCCGGTGCTGAACGGCCGGGCCTGCCCACTCTGCTGCCGAACTGTGCCCTTCTCATTGCCAATAAAGCTTCCGAGTTCAGAGCAGCCGCAGTGGCCTCACCGGGGCTCGAGGGGGCGGCGGGTCGCGGCTGCCTCTCCCGTGCGTGCGCAGGAGCCGCGGGCAGCAGCAGCGATGGGAGGTCGCGGCGCTGGGCCGCGTTTTCCGGCGCTGCCCCACGTGCCGGCCGAAACCACTTCCGGCTTGGGCGGGGCGCAGCCAAGATGGCCGACCCGGGGGCAGCGTCACTTCCGTCGCGCTGCCCCGGCCGCCACCCCGCGGGCGGAAGTTCCGGTGGAGCGCGGCGGGGCCGGGAGCAGCACGCAGGCGGCCCGACCGGAGGTGCGGGACGGGGCGGGACTGGACCAGAACCACCGGGGCGGGAGGGGGAAGGCAGATCGTACCAAAGACACCGGGGCACGGGGGGGAGGAGGTTCCGGGCGGTCGCGCCCTGAGGCGGGCCGGGCGCTGAGCGGGCCGCGTGGGGCGTCGCTCCGTGCCCGGGCTCGAGGCGCTGCGCCGGAACGGCCTGTAGCCAGTCCCCAGACGCCCGATCTGCACAGAGAGTCGCGGCCGTGTCGGAGCCGGGGAAGCTGTCCCGCAGGCCCGTCCTGTCCTCCCGCTGCTGACCTCGCTTTGCGCCTGCGTGAGCGGCGGGGCCGCGGCCCATCATTAAGCGATGGTCATTAAGCGCCTCGCGGCGCCGCTGCTACTTCCGTCGGAGCGGAGTGACCCTACGCTGCTCAGCGGCAGGTCCGGGGGCGGTCGCGGGCGGTCGCGGCCTTGTCCGATTCTGGCGGTCCGGGGTGGGGGGTCTTGCTCACCTTTCGGCCCCGCGGGTCGCGGTGTTCGCGTGGCAGCGGATGGGAACACGCAGATGTTCTCTCGTGGGGGATGGAGGTGGGCGCAGTGGGGTGCGGCACTGTGGGCAGCGCTTGGAGTTCTTTCTTTGCCCCGGACCCCCGTGGGGACGGCAGAGCTCCGGGGTGGGCTATGTGGGCCCTCGGCAGCCTGAGCTGATGTGGGGTAGCCAGCCCACCGCACGGGGCAGAGGGGGTGAACATTAAGGTCTCTTCCAACCCAACCGTGCTGCAGTGCTCTTTGCTCCGGGCAGCACTTTTCAGGCTATCTATCTGATGGAATTGCAGCTCCTGTTGCCTCGTGTTGGCTGTGTTGTGCCCAAGAAGGCCACAGGAGAGCTGCTGTTATTTGTGGCTGTGGCTGCCAGGGATTTTGGCAGGTGCTGTTTGTCTGCTTGTTTTGACCCTGGAGTACACATGGCAGTGCGTAGGCGTGCATCTGCCAGCTTCCAGTGTTTTTGTTGGAGCTGGGGATAAGCTGAAGAGTGCTCAGTGAGACAAACCATGCAGGTCGTAGCCCAGACAGGGTACACTGCAGTCTGATTGTGTTCCCGATGGGAGCCAGGAGATGATGCTTCCGACGCACTCTCATCTAGTTAGTGCTGAGCATGGGCTGCTGCCAGAGGTGGGAGTTGTGCCTATTGTGTGAAGCACGGCACCTTACATGAACTGTGCAGGCAGCACAGGAGGGCTCTGCTGCCCCAGGGTCTGTGGACTAACAGCTTGGCTCATCCCTGGATGGTTCCATAAGGAGCTGAAGCTCTTACACAGCCATCAATGCCCATAAAAATTGCTGCGTGCCTGCTCTGGCACTTCCTGCTTCCCACTGCTGCAGATTT